GAGCAGGGAGCCCGATGCGGGGCTCGATCCCAGGACTCTGGGATCATGACCTGAGCCAAAGGCAGACGCTTAACGACTGAGCCACCCAGGTGCCCGAACAATCCCAACTTTTAATCAGGACTGAAAAATGTTACATATTATCAAATCATTATGCTATACACCTGAAACTAAGAGAATGTTGTATGTCAATTATATCTCAATAAAAAAGAAAAGTATGAATGACAAAGCCATAAATAAAAAGACTGAAAATATAACTGGTAGAGGACTCTACTATTAAATACTTTAACACTTGCCAACAATGTGTAAATGCTTGCTGTGTTATAAAGGTAAAAACATCTGTTCAGTTATCAGGAAAGAAAACAATAAAGATTGTTCTCTTAATCAATTCATTACTACTCCCTCTAGTTTTACAACTATTACAATTGATTATTTTTAAATGATTTTTTTTTAAATTATGAGGAACACATACATATGTCTGTTTCCTCTTGTACTGAAAGTTAAGCTTACAGTAAGATAAAGATCTAAAGACAAAGTTGGTACTAATGAATTGACAACACTCTACAATTTTAAGTATGGAGATTATTGGGTATACCAATATGGAATTATTTACTTGTAATTTAATAAGCGATCAAGTTTTAACATTATTTTGAAGAAAATACTAAGTGTTAGGAGTTTTAAATTACAAGGGATTTTTCTTAGCTATAAAAAAGAATGATTAGATCAGAAGAACATTAAGGCCCTCTCCCATTAAAAAATATCTAATTCTTTGGGGCGCCTGGGTTGCTCACTCAGCGAGCGTCCGACTCTTGGTTTCGGCTCACGTCATGATCTCAGGGTCGTGGGATCGAGCCCCATGTTGGGCTCCACACTCAGCATGGAGTCTTCTTGGGATTCTTTCCCTTTCCCTCCCTCCCGCCCTGCCTCTCTCCTCACACGCACTCTCTCAAATGAATAAACACAATCTTTAAAAAATTAAAAAAAAAAAAAAATCTAATTCTTTAATTCCATGCTTCAAAAGACAATGGTTTAAAAATGACAATGTCCATGGGGCGCCTGGGTGACTCAGTCAATTAAGCATCTGCCTTCGGCTCAGGTCATGATCCTGAAGTTCTGGAATCAAGCCCCAAATCGGGCTCCCTGCTCAGCGGGGAGTCTGCTTCTCCCTCTGTCTCTGCCCCTCCCCGCTGCTTGTGTGTGTGCACGCGCGTGTTCTCTCTAATAAAATCTTAAAAAAAAAAAAAAAATGACGTCCAGTTTCTTTTGGTTTCCACTGTCGGACCTACTGATTTCATCAGGAAACTAAGGTATTTATTTAAAGTTCTCTAGTATTTGTGAAAGGAAAAAAGAACTGAAGGGATGAAGCCCTGAAATATTTCTTCCCATAACATGTGTGTAACACAGGCCTGACTGGCACATCTGAATCCACTTCAAAAGCGTCTGTAAAAATGACTAAGTAAATTAACTATTTATAAGGATTACAACACACTTAATTTCCACATACCTGGCTTCGTAACTACAAGAGGCAATTTCAGCCTTTGACAAAACAGAATCAATCCCATTTGCTTGTGCAGAATCTTGGTTCTCCCACAATGATGAATCTGGTATCTCTGCTTTAAAAATAATAAAATTTAATGATTATACATTAAAAACTTATTTTAACTTTCATTCAAGAAATATATTTTCCATTCCTTTCATATACAAATGTTTAATAAATTCCAAATATAGTTATATCCATTGGTACTGGTCTTCTTAATAAAAAAACCTATAGCTCTAAAATGGTTTGCTTCCATTATATACTTCACCAGCGGTCAGTCAAAACATGATAAATTCAAAGTGTTCTGTTTTAGTAAAGGCTTGTGTTTTTATTTTTTTTTACAAAATATATCAAAAGATAAATATAAACTATCCCTTAAACAGTCTCTTGAGATGAAAAAGGACGAAAAGTTATCAAGACGATCAATCCCCTCCTATATTCTTGAAAGGATTATACAGCTCCCTGTAATGGGAAACAGTTAATGGAAAATATACATTTCTCTGAATATTCTTTGCTGTTTCCTAAATAAACTACCTGCAAAACTGAAACCTACTTAACACCATGCTCAACAAAACACCAATTTCCTACAAGTCATTCAATCAAACAATTCAGTAGATCTCATACCATAAAGAGGTTTCATCCTAAATTTAAGATTTTTCTTTTGAACACACATCAGGCAAAAGAGCTTCACAACACTGACCCCTTCCAGTAAATTCTACTTTAATGGTTTAACAACGCATGTTGAATTAAAAACATTCAAGTGTGATCAGAATACCAACTGCTTTACAGAAAACGCTAGCCTGAACAGTACTACTCACTAGTATTTCTTAACATCCAAGCCAAATTTACAGCTTCACACTAGATTATAAAAGCACATACCTCAAGAGCACTGACTATATGCCACTTTACTTCCTTTACCACCTTTAGCTTCACTAGGAATTGAGAAAGATTAAAACACAACTTCAGTTCTTGGTCTTGGGACATTACTACGTTCCAAGAATATAATTTTAAAACATATATTCTTAAAACACAATCTCAGCCACAGTTCTAATACAATGAACAAAAATGCCATTAGTTAGTAAAACAAGCCAAGATACACCATTTCAATTAATTCTAGACAAACCTATTTTGAGTACATTATAACCATATGTAACTAGCAAACCGAGTATTTCTGTTCTGCTTATTTCACAAATATAATGTTCCATGAGAAATCAGCCAAGTTAAAGCAGCACCAGAAACACATGGCAAAGTGTCTAGCTTTGTGGGCTAAAACAACTCTTCCTGGTTTGACTCCAGAAATTGTCAACATCTTTTACTCAACTACGCAACCCATACAAGCATTTTTGGATTCCGGCACCCATATACACAAACCATAAATGCAAATCAAACTGTAAAGACTGGTATCTTAATGGGCTCAAATCCCACTTGCCTCAAAAAATTAAAACAGCAGAGTATATAATTTGAGCCATGATTTCTGATCTATTATGATAAACATATGCTATACCATGACAAATTAAAAACAGAAGGCAAAGCAGACTTCCCTGGTTTTCTGAAGCATCTCAGAAGGCTAAATATCTGCTTTCAGAGTCCATTATTCTAAGCTGAAAATCTGCAAGAATTTCAGGATTGTCAGTATCACAGTTCAAGAGAGGGTGCTACTAACCAAACAACAAAGAGAGTTGAAGCTTGAAGAGCCACAACCAGCTGCCTTGCACAGGTATAACCATGACCTTATGCCTTAAAAGCTGGGGAGCTAGGGGACTTCTATGTGAAGGTCTAGTCAAATAATCTACGATACTTGTCTTGAAAATTACAGAAAAACCATGCTTGAGGTGAGAACAGGTGTCTGTGGACCCTGGGCTCCCAATGCCCTGCCTGAAAGGCACCACCTCATGTTTCTCTTCACTGGGCCGGCTGACCTTTTCCACAGGGCGGCAGAGTGCGTGGATCCCTCCACGAGCGCAGTGAGTTGCTTCAAGGGAGACTCAGGGAAATTCAGGGACACACTGTCCTCACTGGAGGGCAAAGTAGAGAACTGCTCATCAAAACTTGACAAACTAGACGGGCACATGAAGAATGTGGAGGAACGGTTGGAGAAATCAGAAGCCAGGACCCAAGTCTGTGAAAAAGAAATCGCTGAGAATAAATCTATAACTAACACGATTTTAAAAACTGTTGTTCTTTAGAACGAACACTGAAGCTATCGAAGGGATAAGAAAACATCTGCATCCTGGAATCCAGGAAGAGGTAAAGGCCCCCAACCACAAAATCTTGAGTACAAATGGATTCCAAATAATGAGACCATCAATGAGAAGCGTCACTGCTGAGTATGGCTCAGGAAGCAGCTTCCAAAGGAAGTCGTGGATGGAGAGCCCCGGGTTACACTGGTCCGTTTAGACAAAGAGTTCTTGAATATGACGAATAAGAAGCTAAAGTTTCTACCTATAAAGGGCTGAAGATGCTATCTGTTCTAATATTTTGCCTAGACATACAAGCCGAAACATCAGAACTGATTTTTTTTTAAAGCTAGCGTGCAGAAGCCAAAGGTTCTAATTCCTAAATTGATCTTCGATATTTTAAAATTTGGTGTCATGTGATAAGGACCCAGAGAAAGAAAGATCAGGGAATAACAAGGAAAGAAGAACAAAGGCATTGAAAAAACAAGTTCTAAGTACAAGGTTAGCTGCAACCAAACTTTATAATAAAGGACAATCTGTTCATTTTATGTTATAAATATTTTAGGTAAGCTCCTAATGGGTCAAAGGCTTAGGAAATAAAAGTGAATGATATAAAGTTAAAGAAAGAATATAAAATGCAAAGTATCATATTCACCTTTTCTAGTGACAGAAACATCTATTTTTGACAGTTTTCAATGGCAAGTGAATTTTCAATATTTCTCCTAATATTTACCTTCTAACTTACCACCTACATTTAGAGGTGGAGGGGATGTGAATTATAAAAGGTCATTACAATGTTATGAAAATCCAGTGGCTAAACTGATGAAGATAATTAAGTAACCAATGACTGTATTCTGTTAATAAACTGTGTATGGTCAGATCACTTGTGAAGGAAGGAAAGACGTAAGAGGACTCGTTCTCTGCTACTCCTAAAGGATGTGCACTTGCGAAGGCCAAACTTCTGGACGGAGACTGCCAAACTACAGACGTGCGTGGCAAACGCAAGATTCTACCCACCGGAGGAGCCAAGCGCTGGGTAACTGACCGATGTTACCGAATGCTATGTCCAAGGTATTTTTCCTTCTTTCAACATTCATTCAGTGAGTTTTTTAACTGAGTGCCCAATAGATAACAAGTATTATGCATTTCCTTAAGCTACTTATTTGTTCTCTAAAACTTAAGATTTCATATTTTTAATGCCACACAGAAAATACAAAAAGAAAAACCAACCTACCACAAAACCATACAACCAATACTTCAGAAACTACCCATATTGTCACATACCACAATACAACTAAGTGTTAACGAGCTCAATACTACTGGCTACCCCAAGACCTACCCATGACACACAAAATGCTAGAATCTCAAAAATCTCTTAAAAGATTTAAAAACCAAGAAAAGCTTTAGGAAATCTGGAAAATACAGATACACATGAAGCAAAAAGATATATCTATCATTACTGTTTTGTACTCATACCTGTACACAATCACAGCCAAAAAAAGACTGTAATCCCAAAAAAGGTCCTCAGAAATGTCCAGTGGCTTTCCTTTAGCCTTAACTTCAATGAGATTTCTAAAATAATGCCAAGTTTTCATAACTGAAAACCAGGAACCAGAAATAATCAGGATGAAATTTAACTGCTTTGCCTTCCATTCCACTGTATACCTAATTTCTGACTACTTTCTGATTAATATTTTTCTGGAAAACTAATTTAAATATTTTTTTTGGCTTTGCAGACATCTATGAGGAAAACTGATCAGTGACAAAGAATTTAATTTGTAAGCAAGTATTTCTCAGGGAATTTACTCAGAGGGAAAAACAGATATAAAAATCTTAATAGTACTGTGAACAGTCTAAGTTATGATTTTTATTTATTAATAGCAAAAATTCAAAAGCCGGCCAGGCAAGAAAATGTTGAAGCAGGTTCAGCAAAGACATGGGGAATGATTTCTGGTTCTATCTTCTTATACCAGTAAATGAAGTCCTACTGTTTTTCTTATTCCACTGCCTCATACAAATCTTTAGCAACATGAACTTTAGTGTCTTTACTGTGATCAGTGACCAAACAACTAGTAATTAACTCTCCGGTCTAGAGGCTTCCACAAAGTGATGTCCAGGATTTTATTTTCATCCCCAATCTAACTGTATACAAAGCAAACTAATCACACCTTATAAAACATTCTTCACTCTCTGTCCCAGGAAAATATCATACAGTTCAACAAAGCAGGGCTATGAACCAGTCATTTGTACTGCATACAGATTTTGCTTTAAAATGTCACTGACACCTTTAAAACCCTTGAATGAAAAAGCTCATTATTTCAACTCTTTCATTTCTGTAACAAGAACACCAGCAGCAAAATCCAGACGTCTTCAACAGGAGCACCGTGACTTCAAAGAGAGCTCATTTGTACCTGCTTTGCCTTTCAGGATTTTATTCTGGTAATACTGCCACTCCAACTGGGGGTTAGCGCCGGGACGTAAAGGTGCCCTTCCTGTGCCTCTGTTACTTGTAACAGCCACTGGTTTTCCTGTGAGGAAAAGAAAAAAATTATTTTTAAATCTAAGTACAGGAATGTTAACAACACTGACAACATATAAAGGAAAATATTTCACAAGATTTAAAAAATACAGCATTTTTTTTTCTTTAGCTTTCTTGAGGCGTTAATCCATAAAGGAGCTAACATCTTTAAAAGTTATCAATTACCATGCAAAGATCATCTAAGTTTCTCAACACCCCTCCGAAAGTAAACTACTTATGACAACTTTGATACATTTATTCAACTTAAAAGCAATGCTTTCACTTTGCTTCCCATTGTTTTTGTTTGGTTTCTTGCAGTAGAAAACAAGTCAACTCTGATGCTAGATTCGAATTAGAGGGGTGGGAGAGGGAAAGAAAAACCAACTATATCTAGATGTTTTATATTTCTTGTATCAGAAAAGTAAGGTAACATCTAAACTAATCTTTCAATTTTACAGCAAGAAAAACAAATATATATGCAGAGGGACCACAATCTGACCTACTATATAATCAAATATGAGAATACAGTCCCGCAGTTTTTGGTTTAGTTATAAAATCTTTCATGTATAAAATCTTTAGTATAAAAGCTTTCATTTCCTTGTGCATGCATTAAATTACAAGAAAACTGTTAACTTCTAAAGCAAGCGCATGGATAATTCATATATAGGTTACTGAATGCATTTGTTGTGAGAATAAAAAAAAATTATGCATCAGAGTGACTCATCAGGCTAAGCCCAATTCTTTAACATTCTAAACTTCTTTCAAAGCTGAAGCAGTAGCTACCCGTGACAAAAATAAAGCCCTGGTATTAACACAGCAACTTCTGTGCTCTCCTTAAAGGAAGAACAGACTCTCAGAAGAAAATGCTAGTAGTTTCAAGCACAGACAGAACTACTGAAAAACCCAGAATAAATGTTTTTACTTTGTACTGCTTAGTTCACAAATACATGAAAGTCCATTAAAACAAAGATGACAGCATATCTTAGCAATATTCAATAATGCAAAATTATTCTCTAACCAAAAGATTGGAATGTGCACTAGCATCTGGACAGTTAATCAAGTTATTTATTCAAGAGAGAGAAAGCTCGGTGACCCAAGTTGCAGACATATGCTACCACAAAATTTCCATTTAATAACAAAGTAATAGTAAATATATAAAAACGTAGAAAATGCCCAATACCAGTCTATATTAGTCTTAGATGAAATATCCTTCAGGTGAAGAGTATTCTTCCCTAAAGACCTGACCTCTTTAGAGAGAAAAAAGCTTTTCTAATTTCCCTTTATCTTTCTTGATAATGGAGTCCAGAAAATTTGGAAGCAGGAATTTATTTTGCTAAGGAAAATTCGAATAAATATTTCTCAAAGAAGATTTTTAGATCCTTTAGAACATATAACAATATTATCAATTTTCTTAAAATATAAACAAGAATACAGACCTTTGAGATCTGGTCTATTTCGTATACCCACTGATACAAAGAAGCAATCCATATCAACATGCATTATACAGCTCTGATGCCTGGGTGAACTCAATACTGACATATTTCCTAGAAGGAAAAAGAAAACATTCAAACCCCAAACTAATTGTTAATATTTAAAAAAATCAGGTCTATTTAATTTTAGAAACTGTATTTTCAAGTGCCTATAAGTAGAATGAAGTCTCAAAAAAAAAAAACCAGAATCTATTACAGACCATTTCTACCACCTCAAGAGACGTCAAATTTCAGTTTCTTTTGCTCCAAAAGTAATCCAGAGATACACATTTAGTTTCCAAGCATAATTTGAAATTATGAAGATACCATGTTTTCCTAGTCTATATTCTAATAATTCTAATAATCCAAAGTATGTCTAAATGCTTATCTTAAAGTTACTTCTATGTGCTGAAGATTTTACCAAAACATATAAAGGTGTTTTCATATATTTAGTTACATGGAGCTAAGTAACTTTAAATGATCAGTATTTCATGCAGTCTACAAACATTCCTTGATTAAAAAAACAAACAGTAAAAATTGCTACTGTTATTGAGTGTTTGGTAGCTGTCATGCACTGCTGTAAGAGGTTAACGTGTATTTAAATTTTCACAACAATGCTGAGGTAAGTAATGTTATTATGCCCATTTTACAGATTAATATTATGTTAATAATTATTTTATGCAGCCAGTAAGAAGAGGCTGAGCTGGTAATCAACCCCAGGCGGTCTGATTTGAGCCCTCACGCCATCACACTGTTGCCCTAGATATATTTAAAGTCTATAAAACAAAAATCTACATATAAATCTGTATACATACAAATGTATTTGAACTTTCCTCCTTAGACCATTAAACACTATTAAAAATCAGCTCTGAAGCATATGTGCCACTTTAAGAAGATAAAGCTGAGTGTCCTCTCCTAACGACTCTGCCTTCTAATCACCCTGATTAGATTTATCAGGGCTATTTTAACCAATCCAACCACAAGAAGAGCTTTCCTCTTTACCAGTTTCATCCTTAGCCCTTCTCCCTGGTCCTGGTCCAAGATATACAAGTCCTGGAAATAGGAACCCTGAGCTTATAAAAAGCTCTAATCTCATAAAGGAGTTTCTGCTGATAAAAAATACTAGTACTGAAGGTAGGTCTTCATGATAGGTTTCCCAAAACTTTCATTTTTACTCCCCAAAGGTTCAGACGACTCCATTTACCAAATTGTGACTGTGAAAGCATTTACCAAGTTCTCACTACGTGCGAGGCACCGAGCCTTAGTTCTGGTTATCTTCCCTAAGCTCAGAAGCCCATGAGGTGAGCATCATGGACTACCTATCGCTCCACGGTGAAGAGGAAACTGAGACCCACAGAAGTGAACTAACTGGCCCATGGTCCTGCAGGATAAGAGCAGCAGGGCCAGGATTCACATTCAGGCTATATTATCGAACTCCAAAGCCATGCACTTCCTTGCTAGCCTCTATATTATCTCCAGAAATGATTTATAAAATAAATCTTAACAACCATAATTCTGCTGTATAGAAGTATTATATAAACATAATGTAAACAACCCAAAATAACTGCTTTAAACATTCAAGTAGTACAGAATGCATATATACCATATACCTACTGAATGCTTTCATACAATACAAAAATTTATCATTTTACTCCCACTCATGAAACTAATTTGTAATAGTTCTTTGAAGCTTTCAAAATTAAATGACCTTTACCATATAAGGTCAGGGGATGATGTATGGATAATCTAATACCTATAACATTATTCTGAAATATTTCATAAGTAACAGAAAGCATTTAGGAATACATCAAACACAACAAAACAGAAAAAACCCCACATGGAGAAGATCTATCACTTTCTAGGACAGAACCATGAGCTTCCCTCTGTACCTCAGTTTCCACAGCTATTCAGTTCAAGGGTAGTATTAGATAATCTGAGATCTCTCTCCAAAAAACAAAACCAAACCATATATTCTGTAAAAAGCACCTCAAACCTCAGAGCATATACTAATCGATAATGACTGCACAGAAATATAGCCTGTAATTGTTGGTTTTGTTTGCTTTTGAAGACAAGAAAAGTATTAAAAAACAAAATACAATTAACCCATCTACTTTTATGTGAAAACACTTACTCTCACTACAAGTTTACCACTAACATTACAATAGATATTATGTCAGTTATTTAATAATTTAAAAATCATTAAGATGCCAGCTTCTGGAATTAACAGTTACTCTTGCCAAACCCAATTTATTCTTACAGGAGTTTATGCACTGAATATAATACATGTAATATTTTACACAGTTCAAAACTTCAACAACTGACAAGGTCTACATGAGGAATGAATGAATGCTCAGAATCTCAACCTTGTTACTGTTTAAGTTACCTAAAAATATTTAGTTAGCCACATTTAAATCTAAATTTATAAAAAATAATAAATAAGAAAGCTTTCTATAATCTGCTAGGCTCACTGTAACTTATATATCCTGATATTCCTAAAGACTTTTATATTATGAGAGCTTAGTATTGATCAGAATACCAATGACAGCTTAAGAACAAAATGGTCAAGCATGATTGTTTCTTAAGAAAACAATTTTAGTATGTATCTACCTGTGTCAGTTACAACAAGTGCAGACCTGCCTGTTTTCATTTTTTTTAACTTTTCCCTTCCTGGGAAGATACCACTACTTTGTCTTTGTAGGGTATTGACAAACTCAGTCAATTCACACTTCCACATTGATATGTGATGAAGTCTTGAGCGGGAATAGAAGTCTGAAATAAAATTGCAATCTGAGGGTTTAGATGGCACTGAAGGTGCTGCCTTGCTAAGAGTAGGTACTGAAGAAGTGCTTTTTGTGCTTGAAGGCCCCTGAACAGCGGAGTGGTGAGCACCATTTATTTTAGTGTTACTGTGCAAAGATGATAAGGAGAAGGAATTAGTTCTGTGTGGATTCCGCACGGCATCTGTGTTTCTAGTGCTTTGTTGCGACTGCTGCACAACGCAGTCTCTGAAGTCAGTGCTGCTCTTCTCGGCCTGCTCCTCCTCCTGGGCGAAGTCTGGAGAAAGCCTGCTGGCAACACTGTGGCCCATGGGCACCAAGCAATCCTGCGTCTTTAAGGCACCATTAGAGCTAGGAGTGTGTCCATTAAAAATGGCAGTGCTGTCTCTGTGATGCGGAATTCCGTTTTGTTTCCTTCCTGGAAAGATCTGCTCCAGCTCCGTAAAACTAAAATCATTATCTGCATCTTCTTCATTCCAACTGTTCATTCCATTGACTTTGACTTCATTTTCTGTCTCAATCTTCTTAATTATGTGATTTCTATAGGAGGAAAGAAGATTTAATTTCAATTAATGTGTGACTTTCAGGCTAAAACAATTTTTAATGTAAACATGGTCTTAGAGATATGCACTCCAATATTTCTCTGAAAAATTAAGCCATAAATTTTATATTCTTCCTCTTCCAACAAAAGATAATTCTTAGCTAAACCAAAGTAGCAAGGTAACTAGGAAAATTCTAGAATATAAACAGTCTTTTAGGGTTTGTTTGTTTTTTTTCCAAACTTCAAATACTCCCAAAGAAGAAATACAATGGAATCTCAGATTGAAGAAAAATAAAAACTAGGGCGCCTGGGTGGCTCAGTTGGTTAAGCGACTGCCTTCGGCTCAGGTCATGATCCCGGAGTCCTGGGATCGAGTCCCACCTCGGGCTCCCGGTTCGGCGGGGAGCCTGCTTCTCCTCCCTCTGACCCTATCCCCTCTCATGCTGTTTCTTTCTCTCTCTCTCTCTCAAATAAATAAACAAATAAATAAATCTTTAAAAAAAGAAAAGAAAAAGAAAAACTGTTTTCAATCACTTTTCCCACTAAAAAATAATTGGGACCTGTAATCGCTAAATATCCAGTTTGAAGCACAGTGTCTGGCATTTACTAGGGAGTCAATAAATTATGGGACTCAATATAAAAAGCTCCCATAAAAATTGGTAAGAAACTTTATCTGAATGATTATTCCTAGTTTTAGTTTTATGTAAGGCACTGTTCAACATATTAAATCCAATACTGCTACAATCCTAGGGCCAGTTAGTTTCACTCAGGAAGACTGACAGACTATATGTACTAATCCATTAATGGGGCCAATTGTTGCATGAGTAGATAAAAAGTAAGAATCAGGTTAATGTGTATGGGTAATTCAGGAAAAAAATATACCTAGAAAAATGAGGACACTTGCTTATTAACAGAGGAAATGGCATTTCATTTCTAAGAAAAGCATATTCAGATGCCAGGGTGGTCCAAGGCAATATGGACCAAGTTTCCTGATGACAAGTTTATAAACGCAAGACCTATGACAAATGTTCCGCTAAATTCACATTGTGACTCCTCTAGATGTTTGCTTGGTAATGCTCTATAATAAAGACAAAACTCATTTGCGTTCACAAAAATTATCTAAGTAACAAATACAAAAACCTGAATTACAGAAGAGTAATTCATTCCACTTAGAAACACCCACACCATTAATCCAATTACAGTTCAGCCTCCAGAAACGGTTGCCTGATATATGGCACCCAGGCATTGGTGAGGTTACCACAGTTTTACCAGGTTTAATCTAAAAAGTCCCTCATTCTAATACCAACATGATATATTAGTAGTAACAGTCTGAATACACAGAGAAGTCACACATGAGTCAGATGCAAGACATTACCACCCATTTCTGGGTTGGCCCTGTCTGGCTAAACCATCTCATGGAATATGACAGCCAACTCTGATTAGGTCCAATCCTCACAGATGCATGCCAGTGAAAGGGAAAAAGACGACCAACGGGAAACGATTAAAAGAAGAAGGAAAGAAAACCTAATTTCTTCCGCATCTGGCCCTTGAGATAAAGAGAAAGCAAGGGAACAAGAAGTCACATAACAGAATTTCAAAGGAATTTATAAAATGTATTGAATATACCAAAACATAAAGATCACAGAGAGCAACGAAAGTGAAGTAAATCAGAAAAGCCTGACGTCTAGTTCTCTGTATCACAAATAGTAAAGATTCCTTCCACGTATACTAGCAACATATGCAACAGAATTGCATATATTGGCAATAAACACACTGCTAATATACATTTTTTCTATACTGTAGTTTTTCAGCCTAGATAAATGGATATTCATGAAGTAGCTGTAGTGGAAATACAGCACTGGTAATATATATTAATTAGGCAGAAGTGTACATGTATTAAAAAATACAATCTAATTGGCACAAAGAATTTAAAAAAATACATTTTCTATTTTTATTAGTGTGGGTAAGAAAAAGATATAAAGTTGTGCATTCAGAAAGATTTTCTGATATTATTTGTTGTGCACCTTGATGATACCAAAAAAATCACAAGTGTCAGATAATGTGAAAAACACGTGAATATGCTTATAAGTGAACACAAGCTAAAAAACAAATGACAACAACAAAAACTACAGAAGGTAGTGACATCAGATCCCCCCAGGTTAATTAGACTCCTGGCCTTTAAAAAAAAATATATCCAACTCCCAAAGCAAGCAATTTAATAAGTACGAGAAGGCTAACGATAATGAACCACCTGATATACACGTTAAGGCAACACACCAATTAATCATGAAACCACTTTATCCAAGATTATTGCAATTAAAGCTTAATCAGTATATTTTTTAAAACCTGCCACATGGACTCAAGTCTAGAGTTACCTCTAACTGTAACACTGAGAGTCACCAGCTAAATTTTTACTGATATAAAAATATTAACATAAGTAAACTTGCTACGAATTTGGAATTTTGCAAAACCACCTAGAAATGTTAACATTTTCATTATGTATATAGCACACAACAAAAGTATACCTTGGCACAGTTAGCTCATTTTTTTGAGAAAGCAACATTCCACAGCAAATTACTTATATGGAAATAATTACTTTCAGGAAAATCCATGGGAAATTTTACTTCTAGTAATTTAAGATCCATTAGTTTAAATGGGAATCTAAAACGACTGGAAAAGCTTTCTTATTTACATTTATGAAACTTTCAATATAAAAACAATTTTTAGGTAAGACACCCACACATAAATTTTAACATGTTTAATACAGATGAATGGCCAGGTTTTGTGTTTGTTTCTATCTTCAGCAAAGCAGGGGCTGAAACCACTGCTAAAACTCAGCTTTGCAGCATTCCGCAACGTAGACCAACTTACACCCCGTTGTTGAGCTGTTTGGCTACACTGCTTGGACCTGGCCCAGGTTCCTCAGCTTTGCACGCAGGATTAAAGTTGAGACCTTTCTGCATGTTGGACTGCTTGCTGTACAGCTGATAGGGAATGCAGGACAGCAGTCGTCCAGCTTTGATGCTGAAACAAAAAAGTAACACTAAGAGTTCAATACTTGGGGAAAATAAGCTTCATGAAAACTCAACGTCTGAAATGATGGGAGTTTTTCACCAACAATGAGCCACGAGTTTTCCTAGTTTATTTCCTCTCGCTTGGTTTTAGTGGCTCTAATGCAATATCATCTTCCTTAAACACTTAAGAATAAGACATTCTACCCAAGAAAAGACACACATCTGGACTTTAAGGAGTTAGTGCCCAACAACCTTACAGGAGGGGGAAAAAAATAACTATAGAGTAGGATGACAAAACTGCATGCAGAGTTTAAATATTTTAATCATCATGACTTTAATATTTACAATTCCCCCTCAAACAATTCATATAGAATCACCAAGACTTTCTCAAATCTCATTTCACATATGAAGTATTTCCAGGATTCCCAGTTTCCACACTATGATCTCAGGAAAGGAAATAAAACAGGTACGAAAATATGTATAAAACTTCTTGCCCTTTCTCCTACAGGGTACAGAATGTCTTCTTATTACAGATAACTGAGAGTAAATTATTCATTCGTAAGCACGTGAAGATCGAAAATATATTTTCTGATACAATGTTACCTAAAAGTCATTGGGGGATAGTCTGAAATGTGTCTCTTGGCTAGTTAGCCAATTAAGAATAATTTTAGAAGAACTCTGTAGTACTGTGAGAGAAAAATGTAAATGATACCAATTAAAAAAAAAAAAGCCAAATCTATACCAGAAACTAGAGTCCTACACATTTTCTATGAAGAATAAATTGAAGAAAGATACAAAAACACAAGAGAAATGAAAAAAAATCATAAGGTGAAATCACGATCAACTTTTATTTGAGTTGAATAAGCACTCTAATATTAATAGTAAATGTAATTAGAAACAACGTTTTAACCTATAGGAAGTATGAGCTCTTCATAGTATTTTAAGTACCTAACAAATGTGCTAACACATTGTAGCTTGGGAACTTAAAAAGAAAGGGCAGATCTGGCTGGGAACCAGTACCCCCAGCTGGCATGAACTGCAACAATCATCGGCTCTCACTGGCAGCAGACCCACTTGGGAAACCTAACCACAGGTGGCAGGGTCCCCTGCTACAAAAGACTCAACACACAACGAAGAACAACAAAAACAAAATCAGCCTTTAATAACTTAGGACAGGGGTTTTAAACTGTGCTCCATGGCATTGTCAGGCTTGATGAGGCAGTGGGGTGAATCATAGCACCTTCCCATTCTATCCTTCAAATGTCAACATTAAATTGTCTGAAAAAAACAGTTATGACAAAAATTTGAAAATCCCTAATTTACAATATACTACATAAAAGGGTAAGATTTGCCAGGAGAAGGTTTCGTAAGATAATCTCCTACCTAAAACTAATGCACATAGGCTTCTCCATTAAAGGACTCCCCTGCCTCTTAGAAGTGGTGGCCCTATAATCATGCCCACATTAACTCAGGTTTAATGGCACATACACAGACATCAGGGAATTCTAATCAAAGCAAAGTTATCACCCCACACACTTAGAAGTGGTAGCTGCTTTTTAAACTTCTCAAACGAAAAATAGGAAAACAGAGAAAACCTGTCATGTAACCATTCATTAAATAACTAAAATAATGTTTAAAATTTTAAGTATAATAAAATCTCATAAAAACACTACTAAGAAGAGATGAACAAGACTGGGATTAGAGTATGAAACAAAACAGTACTGTGATTGCCCAAAAGGATTCCATGCTAGGACATGTAGACAGTGGGCATTTATTTTATATATTAAGACATATGCTCAGGCTGATCCATTTCCACATGGGCCAATTCAGATGGCAAAGAGCAGACCTAAATAGGAGTCAGAAAAATCTGGATTCTGAATCCTGCTATTCTTGGGCAAGTTAGCCTTATCAGCTCTGCCTTTTCATATGTAAAATGAAGCAAACAGGACATATAATCAGTTATTTAAAAATAGATGATTAACAGAGGGGGAGACGAACCATGAGAGATGATGGACTCTGAAAAACAAACTGAGGGTTCTAGAGGGGAGG